AACAATTAAACTCGTCAATTTATGCTGTTTTTTAGTTGTAAGAACTTATTCTTCGTAATCCCAACTAACAATGAAACATGACTATATTGTAAGTTAATAATATGTAGTTGAGAGACATAAGATTTATAGATTTCTTAAGAATTAAAACAAAGTATTAGTGCTATAACTGTATAACGAGTATTAAAATAAAAATAAAAATCAGTTTGATATTAGAGCGAGGTTAAAAATTGGTTCTGTTTATTATTATTGTTATTATTTATTATTACATAATATTTTATAATAGATTTGAAGATTTAAATATTTAATATATTTTTTGTTTGTTTTATTTTTTTTATTTCCCTTTTTCTTTTTCTTTTTTTGATTCGTATTATAGTTTGCTAGGACTCTTTAATAAAATTTGGTTTGTCAATTTTTGTTCACAACAGCAGTATGATTTTAGATTTGAATTTATCAATATTTCACGTTAAAGACTTCTGCCAGTATTAATTTAGTCATAGATATAATTACTTTTATATATATTATTTTTTTTATTCGTGAAGATTTAGATAAAATTTTAAAATTTTGATTAACCAATAAAATTTTTATGATATCACGGAATGATCTACAAAAATTGGCTAACTATAGCAAAAGCCTGCTACGCTATCACAAGATAGTACAAATAGTAAAATATATATCAAATAATAATTAAGATATTAATAACTCAATAATAATAAAATAGTATAAAGCAAATTATGAATGAATAATATTGATATAAAGTTCTTGAGATCTTAATTAAAAGGTTAATTAATATAAACTATTGTATCTATATACTATATTTAGATACCGTTCTATAAAGATATTTAACATATCAGAATAAAATAGTCTAGAATTCGATTCAGTCACCGTAATTAAATAGAATTGTATATATTTTGATTTTAAATTCAGGGTCAAAATTTTCAGTAGTATTATGGTAATTATTGATATTAATTATAAGTGGTATTTTACTAGTAAAAGATTCAGCTCATAATAGCTTAATAATACTATGAAAATAATAGTTTATCAATTTTAATAGTATTATACAGTATTTAAAAGTCAAGGTCAAAAAAGTAGAAAAAATTTTTTATTCACATTCTAGTTATATACCACATTTAACTCTAAATTATACTAATCATTAATTGAATTAATTACAATCTGATCGAAGTCAGTTGATTAAATGAGAAATACATGTATTAACGTGAAACAATTTAAAGCAATAAGTATTTTTAAGTATTTTTTTTTTATACAATCAATAAATTCAATATTTAAAATTTATTCAACTGTTATGGTAGATATCAATAAATTAGAAACTTACTACTTACAACAATTATTAAGCAAATATAAAGAATATCATGATATTTTGTTTACTTAAGTATTTAAAATAAGTAGTTGAAGGTTGTAAAGATATCAATAAAAAGGTAAATGTGATATTGTTTATTAAGCAAAATATGAAATAGGAATATCTTTGCGATTTGTATTTTTAATAACATAAATAAACTTAATAATTAGGTTGATTAAACGAATCGAGTACCAGTAATCTTTTAACTTAAATTGGCAATAATGTTTAGTATTTTTATAATTAAATTTTTCAATACATTTAAGTGTTATATTAATAATATAAAACAAATACTATTGGATTTTGTAATGTCTGGTCTAACAATACGTATTATATATTATGTACAACACATGCACTAAGTACATACTTATGCAGCAAATAATGAATAACGGATGATTTCATATATGCTAACAAAAGTGGGCTCAAAAGGTGTCACAGTATTTTACAAGTGTATAAAATTGATCTGAAAAATTATAAATTTCATATAATCAAATTTATTTAAAATTTTATAAGTAAACTACAGATTTATTAGTTAAGCTATTTAACATTTTCTATCTTTTTCCTACTTTTTTCCCTTTTTTCTCTAGTAACCTTTCTTTTTTTTTCGGTTGAGTTTCTTCATCATGGTTTTCTAGGGTTCCTAGGTTTGATTCAGGTTCGATTTGAGTTTGATCAAACCCCAAACTCAAACCAAACTCAAACAGTAAATTTTCTTATTTTCAAATTCAAACTCAAACCCGAACCTATAAATAACAAACCCAGACCAGACTCAAATATAATTGTTGAGTTCGGTTTGATTTGATTTGAAGTTTGCAAACAAGTTTGAGTTTGAATAGAAAAATTTTAAATAATCTAAAATAATAAAAGATTACTAAAAATCTATGTTCATGTATTTTATATACTTTTGCCATGATTATACAATCTATTCACACTTAAATTGTGTAAAATTTGGAACGAAATTTTATAATTAAATGATTTAATACATATTTGGATCGCATTTTGGGTACGTCCAATTAAAGATATTAAACCACTGAATACGTAAGCTATCAAATTTGTTAATATTTCTTATAAATCATATGCACTGTATATATATGCAAGAATAACCAATCAGATTTAGTAAGTTACAGTTTGCATAAACAGCCATGATATAAGAATTGCTGTAGGTTAATAATATGCTTTATATTTACATGCCAAAATTAGTGCGAATAAAATGAGGATTTATATATTTGCTCTTGCCAAATTTTTAGGTGGTATAAGCCTTATTATATGTTTTTAAATTTTTATTGGATTTTAAATTATGTTACCTGTTATTATAACTTTATAATGCAGGTTTTTTTGTTAATTTATTAGCTGGTAAGTCTATGCTTTATTTTAATCGCTTCATTCTATGTGATGCGTAGATATATATTTACAAATTCATGTTGATTATTGTCCCTATACTTTCTAGCTATGGTTTGGAGAGCAATAGCGAATGCTAATCCAATTTAGCTCCGATGGTTAACTTGGTTCTGGATTTATAACTCTTGTACACGTGATATAATGTCACGAAACACTTAGCGGGGTTGGGTTATAACTTAACAAATCAAACTTAATTATTGGGAGGGGTTTATTATATACAATAAAATAAGAAATGCAATACAAAACTAATAAAGAAAATAATACAAAACTAAAAGACTATCACTAAACTACAAAACTAATACATAAACTTAATATAATACAAAAGGGGTATCTGATTCTTAATATAGGCTATAACTAAGACATTAAGGGTTCTCTAAAACATAGTTTTCTGAGACATTGTCTGAGACACATTGTCTGAAGAAACATTACTAAGGCGGAAACTCAAGCCTTAAATACCTTTTACTCCACTAAGAGCAACTGTGCTATCTTTAATCCCAGACTTATCTTCTCATCAATCAGTCTTCAGGTTATAACCACCCGCATTAATATAGCCACCAAAATTTCTCACAATCGTTACTACAATGCTTACTCTCTATCTAATGTTTATCATATGGTGGGAGTAATTAACCACCAGGATTGATCTATATCTTTAAGCCTTCATCCGAGCTTCACAATATTTTTGTGGCTCGGGTCATTTGAGCTTTTAGTACCACCAAATTACATCAAGGCCACAGGTTTAAACTTTAACCTGTGGCACTATATATAGTAAAGTAATACAGTAATGTAAATAAATGAGATAAATTGTAATAAGATGGCCGCGTTATACGTATATTGTTATTTTACAAAACTGTCATGTATAAATTTCATAACTTTCATGCATAATTGAATAAATTTTACTGGTAAAAAAGACTACAATTGTTCAAAATGTTTAGTCATTATTACCAAAAGTAAATAAAAAAAACCAGAATACGAAACCTTAAACCCGTTTAAAAATATAAAAAGAAACTATCATAGTAAAATAAATAAAAATATAAAATACCCAATTATATATATATCAGGTTTGAGCTCGTGTTGTAAAATCATCAAATTGCATCGAATTAAAAATTTGAAATAACGTCATTTATTCATGCATGTGCCACATTTCTAATACCAATTTTTATTATCGACCATAAAAGGATAATGAAGCAATTTGCATTCTGGAAATCTGTTGATCATTGCTCCACAAGATCGTGAGATTGAATCCTGACAAACCCCAAAATAATCGATCAGAAATCATCTCAAAAGATTGTTTAAACACCCTTACATATAATAGAAGTATTTTGCACTACACAATCGATTATGATAGTGGCGCAGTACAATACTTTTATTATATGTAAAGGTGTCAAATGAGAATGAGTCTTGACTAATCCCCAGAATAATTAATCAGAACTCAATCTCAGGTTTTTTTTTTTTTTGGTATGATAGTTTGCATAGTCATAATCGATTTTGAGCGATAACTTGATAACCAGTAGGTTCCCAGCATTTTACAAATCGCGATAACATATTGAGAGATTATCATAGGCCAATATAACAGACAAACAGAAAATAAGCCTCATATGAGATCCAATCTTTAAAATTCCCATCACAAATAACTAATTATCATTTAATCTGCCTTAAAAAAGGAAGAGCTATTAAAGATCGCAACCAAAAAGAGATAGAAAAAAAAAAGGCCAGAAAATAAACCTCAATATGACCATCTCATTGCAAATAACTAATTATTACTTAATCTGCTTTAAAAGGTATATAAAAGGAAAGCTATTAAAGGTTACAACCTAAAAAGAGAATTAAAAAAAAAAGAAACCAGAAAATAAATCTCGATATGACCAAATTTTAAAATCTCATTGCGAGTACCAATTATCATTTAATTTGCTTTTAAAGTATGTAAAAGGAAAAGCTATTAAAGGTCGCAACCCAAAAGGGAAAATCAAAAAAACTGTTTATCTTTAAACTACAAAAAACCAGTTCAAAAACTAAAAAAAAAATCAAGTTTCAAATCTATTAATTGAAGAGATCTGAATAGTACACATTATCAATATTTCACGCGCTGCAAAGGTGCAATGCTAACCCTTGCTAATGTAATGCTAATAAATATATAAAAGTATATCGATATTTGATTAGAAATATATAAAGCAACGATCTTTTAGAGAAAATTGCTTTAGAAGTTTTGTAAACTGCTTTATACTTATCTAAGTACGCGAATTAATTATGCACAATGAGTTTCTTATCCATGAAAGTAGACCTTGGATCAGACTATGATAGTGATCATAGTAATGACTACAATAATGACCGTGATAATAATGACCACGACAATGATCATGATAGTGACTATTATGATGGCTGTAATAGTAGTAAAAGTAACAAACGAAATAGGGGAAGTGAGGTATAGAACTTCTTTAAGAAAGCTATATAGAAAAAGGATGAGAAAAAAGCAAAGTGTATCGTATCAAAATGCCAACATAAGGAATTTTCTTGTGGAAATAAAGGCTCAACCGCACCATTATGGCGCCACTTGGAAACTGCCCACTGGACGCAGTATATCACAACAGAAGAATATCGCAGAAAAAAAATGAAACCACAAGATGAACGTGGTACTATTGACAGAATATTTAGAAAAGTAAGTTATTGCTTTTTTTTTTACAACTAATTGAACTAATTTAAAACAACTTAATTTAGCACCCCTCTAATGAATCCTCTGCCATAATTTCAACTGACATTGATAATGCAAAACTTCGTGATATGTTCACTGCGTGGATTATAAATCGTCAACGCCCTTTTTCCATAATTGAAGATCCAGAATTAATCGAAATCGTGCAATATTTGAATTCTAAAGCACAGCTAGTTAAAGCAGATGCAGTTAAAAATAGAATCATGTCATTTTATGACTTGGGAAAGAGAGAATTAAAAGTAGGTTTATGTTTATTATATTTTTACCATTAGTATTTACAATACCGGGTTTTACTTACAGTATTACAGGCATATTTTTCCACTATCGATTCTAAGATCTCCTTTACCTCAGACATTTGGACATCCCCAAACAACAAGGCCTTCGTTTCTGTGACGGCCCACTATATAGACGAAAATTGGACCCTTCAAGAAATATTAGTCGACTTTGGTTTGTTAAGTGGAAAGCATGATGGAATGAATATTTGCAATGGATTCTTTAAGGTGATAAAAAACTATTAAATTACATCAAAGGTTCTTATTTTATTCCCAAAATGCTTTTATTATTATATATATTGCAATTAAGATATCATGTGATTTTGCAAATGTCCATGAAATCACATGATAATTATATAGTAAATTAAATAGTACGCGTTTAATTAAAATTAAACAGAAAAATATAGTTTTCTATTATCCATCTTAAGTATCAACAATATTTGTAGTAATCTTGATTTTTTTTTTTTTGATAACTACTTGCTATCACCTTAGACAGTGCCGCAAACAATGGTGTTTTCGTTCGTGAATTGGCGATTAAATTTAGAGAAGAAGAAAACATCAAATGGAATTCGGAACACCTTCGATTCAGATGCTTCAATTGTATTCTTAATCTGGCTGCACAGGCAGCTCTGGATCAAATAAAGGATGAGATTTGCAAGGTATTAAAAAAGCTAGTTTTTAAATTTTTTTCTTATTACTAACGAAGAAATGATTAAGATTCGAGAACTTAACTCCGCTATTTGTGCATCGCCTCAACGTATTGAACTTCTCGAAAATGCATACAATGCATGCTATATTAAATTTCATAAACTAATTCTTAATTGCCCAACCCGCTGGAATTCTACTTACGATATGGTTAAGAACGGGCTATTTCTCAAACCAGTAGGCTTTTTATTCTTAATTTCATATGATATGGGCCTACTAAAAATTTTTGGCTTGCTAAAATACTTTGGTAAAATTTTTATGTTAAAAATCAAAAATTATTCTAAATAAATACTATTTAACACTGCATATAGTAATCTCCCAAAAAATAATACCTTATAATTAAGACCCAGATATTATTCGCCACTTATCTGGCTTAATTCTTGAATAATATCTGGGAATATAACTTATGTTTAATTTATTACTTTCATAAATATGTTCCAAATATAGTACCGAATTTTTCACAGTACCTGCAAGTACTATTACTGTATGCAGTATTAAATTGTAAATTGGTATTTATATCTAGGATTAACTTTTGAACTGACAGAAATATATGTGAGATTTTTTTTTTAAAAAAAAAAATATTTTAAGGCAAAAATTCTACCAAATACTTACGATTCAGTAGAGTTGAAAATACTTATTTCGTAGACAACTTTCTTTAAAGAAACTTAGTTATCTTAATATGCCATATGCCTATTCTATTATGACTAAGCTACTTTTAAATATAATACGGAATCTATGAACCGTTAGCAAAATAGACGTTGTAATGGTAGAAAATGTTTTTCGGGTGCTGAGATGTTACATAAGCTGAAATACAATAGACTAATGCTAAAACTAATCCAATACACCTTAATTTGTGGGCTTCAGTTGAGGTGTGAATAACTTGGTCTGAGGATAGGGTGTTCTAGAGCTACTGTGGCAGTCACGAGAACCTGAAGTTAAGTATTTACCATTAAATGCTTGAATCCTCTTTTCTTTTATTCCCCTCTGATACTTTTCTTATTATTTTTGTAGTTCAATACTAATGCACTGCTTATTTTCTTTATTAGGAGGTGCGGCTGGGTTCTAATAAGTTATCCCGATCATGAGTTTTGGGTTATAACCTTATGTGATCACAGGTAATTTAATCATAGAGACAATCACTGATTTAATCAATTTAATAGTTATTATAAAAGAGGTTGATTACTAACTAACCTTCTCTTTCTTTATTTTACTAAATTCAAATAACGATTTAAAAAAAAAAAATCATGGGAACAAGAAAATACATTCGAACGATGACAAAAAGACACTCAAGAAAGAACTACTACCAGTAGTTAGAACTCGAAAGTGAGTTACTTTATTCAAGGAAATACTTTGAGATTATTTATACATTTTTCAGTATTAACTAATCTTCTTTTTCACTTTTGCTCTATCTACTTGACCTATCGTACCTTCCTGATTTTTGATGTCTGTCTTTTCTGCTATACCAACCATATGTGAAATATATGGCAGATTTGGCAGATGATTAAGCGTACTGAATGACAATCTTTCCCCATTACAACGTATGTTCGTATGTACATACGCAACATATAAAATTCCGAATAATTGGAATGCTATTAAGATAATTAAGATGTCAAAGGGGCTTGAGAGCACTTAATAACGAGAGGCTAGAAAAAAGGTTTAAATTTGACATTCATAAAATAACAGCTATTTGGTTATTATATAATTACTGCATATTAAGATAACTAGTTTTTTTTAAACTTAGTTGATTTTTTTTTCTTTTAAGGAATGTCCTCGAGCACTTATTAGTTGATATTTAAAACGCAAATTCTAAATATAAATTTATAGGCACTTAATATCCTTACTAGCTCTCATGATGGTCTTCATTACTATGCTATTTCTCATAACCAGTGGGCTATCTTGGATAAAATCGTTAAATTTCTCGAGCCATTTAAGAAACTTACAACTAAAATGTCATCTAGTGCGAATAGCACAGCTTTTTGGGTTATTCCTCTTTTTAACATAATCATTAATCATGTTGAAGATGTAGCCTCAGACATGGACAACAAGGGTTAATTATTAAATAAATTTTTTTGTTTTAGAGTTTTGTTTGGATTATTAACTTACAAAATAAATTTAACTATTAGGTTTATCACTCTATATGGCAGCCACAGTAGCAAGAGAAAAATTGGTTCAGTATTACTCCAAAACCAATTCGACTGTAATGCTATGCATGGCTTTAGACCCGAGAAGAAAATTCCAGTATTTTATCAAGAAAGAATTTCCAGAAGATGAAATCAATGAAACTAAGACTTTGTATATTATTTATTTTAATTATTATTATATATTATGATTAGTAATGTGCCGCGTACGGTACGTAAAATTTTTGCCGATTACTTGTTCCAGCCAATCAGATGCCAGAAAAGAACTATACGTACTGTACACTAAAATTTTTCAGGTATTATAAAAATGGCACATCACTAATTATGACAAAATTAGATAGTGGCAAAATTTGAATCTATTTTAGTTTGAAATTTATTTGTTAAAGCAAACTTTTTCAATATTTGTTTCTTTAGCTTGGTATTAGGGTTGGAGTTATATATTAGATTCTAAACTTCACCATAATCTACAATTTCGATATTTTATTTTAATGATTTGATTTTTTTTTATAAATTTGCCTTTTAGAATGCGGGATCTTTTTGAAATGAAGTACCTACTGGCTATGTCAAATAACAACTTGAAAACTAGAAATACAACGAAATCAACTACACGATCAATGCTGGATTTAGATTTTGATGAAGATGACAAAAACTTTGATGAACTTGAATGCTATATTTCAGAAAAGCCAGTGAATAAAGATATTGATGTGTTGGCATGGTGGAAAGTAAGCAATAGTAAAATGTATACTTGTTGTTGCTCAATTCCCGATGGTCACAAACTATTTACCTGGCATCACGTAGGGTTAGGGTTAGGGTTTTTATTAACGTATGTATGTACGTACATACGTATATACGTACGTATGTACATACGTACATATTTTTATTAAATTATCGCCTTGTACAATGGAAATGATCATCAGAAAAATATTCGTATATATTAGATATCTGTTAATTGTTGACATAATAATAGGCGCATGAAATGAAGTTTCCTCGCCTTGCTCGTATAGTTCAAGATTACTTGGCAATTCCCGCATCATCTGTTGTTTTGGAACGTGCATTTTCTGCCGGAGGTAATATGATTACCGATAAGAGGTCTAATCTGGTGTCCAAAACTGTAAGAACAGCACAGTGTCTCCGATCATGGATTCAAGGTCCACTGAAAGGAAAATTAGTAGATATGTAATGATAAGGTGTGAATCTAAATAGTTAAATAAATAAATAAATAACAGATCTATATTAATTTCTGCTTCTATTATGTACTAATATATAGGTCCATTTGTTATTTTTTGTCAGTAACAAAATAAGCCTAAATGTTCATACAATATATCAATCGGTTTGTTAATTTTTAATATCTAATACGTATGTAGAGCTTAAAGAATATATCTCATGTCATTAGCCACTTAGAAATTTGTTCAATTTTGAAGAATTGCCAACAATATAAAGGAATATTAGAAAGATATCCACAATAAAAAGTGCTCTAAAATGAATCAGTATTAAATAGAAATTTATTTTTGCTTTATTTCTTAAATAGAACATAGCAAAGTTGTTTTTATGTTGATAGATAATATCCAAGTACAACATAGTCTTAAGAAACCAAACTATTATCACAGAGATATTATCAGCTTACTCTGCTTTTTTTTGCTTATTTTTTAGCTTCTTGTAGAAATTATTTTATATAAATAACCAAAAAAAAAAGGCTAAGTAAGCCGATAACAACTCTATATCAAATCCTTTTTATAAAACTATAAGATCTAAAACAATATTGCTTAATTTACATTACATTAATTGACTAATAATTTATAATCGCTCAAGAGTATATAAGTATATATTAACATTGCATACTTAATTAATTCGGGTATTATAAAAGCAAAAATCAAAATTAATTATATTTTTGTATATTTAATGATTTTTGCATTATTTAAAGAGCGATAATGTATGCTATGAAAGTGACAACTAATCTGAAATCACAAAATATGGATCACACTATATAAACCAATACTAAACTATCCTAAACAACGCATAAGGCTACAAAAGGAGGCATGTAAGATTTGGTCTAGTAATTAAGGTGTTAGATTAGCTCTAGATTATGTCACGAGACTCTACTTAAGAATCATGAGACTAACCTACTAATTCTCAGGATCTGATCAACTCATTCGTAGACAACTGACAATCACTTACCGAAGCTCATTTTACAGAAAAAGTAATTCTGGTCAATATCATTAGGGTCAGGTTAGAATTAGAGTTAAAGTTAGTGTATTTTATAAAAAAAACTTGTTGATGAAATGAGCTTCAGTGAAATAGACTGTCGGTAAAATGAGCTTGTCAGTGAAATGTGGTGTCTATGAAGTGATCGTTGGTGAAATAATATGTATCTCTAATTCTCTATGCCTATTGGGGAAATTATCAGGGCAAACACCTTTTTGATGTAGAACTCAGTTGAGAGTTGAGAGTTTTCTTTATTCACAGAGAAAGTAATATATGATTTAATTTTTTTGATTTGAGATTGTAATATGGTATTAAATTTTTATTTCTATCAAATTCAAACTTGTTTGCAAACTTCAAATCAAACTTCAAATTAAATCAAATATAAATGAAAGAATTTATAATCAAATTCAAACTTTATATAAACTTAATCAAATTTTAGATTTGAGTTCAATTTGAAAATCAAACCAAACTCAAATTTAATTAAAGTTTGATATAGTTTGATCTGATAGGAACACTATGGTCTTCAATATCATCTTGTGAATTTTTATTATCCTCCAATTCTGCAGTTCTTTGATCGTGAATATCAGTATTAAATGGCTGATTGGTACATTGAGAACTTGAAGAAGATTCAACATGTTGCTTTGGTTGGATGACAGGAGAATCGATATCATCATCAATAATATCAATAATTGATGGCTTATCGGATGCTGTTAAAGAAGAGCTTTCGGAAGTAGTAATATTATTAGATGAAGTTCTTAGATAATCAATGTCAGTAGCTTCAATCATCATTTTTCCAGATTTAGAAAATTTAAAGAGACCTGATACAATATATGTAGAGCGTAGCTTAATTTTTGAACCCGAAGGGCCTAAATATTTAAACCGGGAAGATTCAGAAGGATAGATTACAGTCAAATCCATTTTGACATCAGGCTTACTGGTAATAGAATTATATTCGATGGTCTCAGCACCAAAATGAATAAAGTCAGTAACTTCTTTCGGATCTCGATTGACTACCACCGAGTATATGCAATGGGGTAAGCATACAGGAAGAGTAGTTGAATCAAACTCACGGATTGGATTATTACTATCAACAATACTTGAATATGCAATTGTGAAGCATAGTTCGGAATTTTTGACAATATATTTACCTGCGATAAATACAATATCACCATTTGTAAACATTTGTGGTGATTGGTTTGTAGGAAAGAAATATTTGTATTTAATTGTTTGGGACAATTCTTGAGAAATTTTATATTTGACAAGACCGGATGAGTACACGGGACTATTTTTTGCAGTAATAATAACAACAAGAAGCGAAACGTGGAAGACCATATTTTTGAATTTCTGAATATGTTATGATTATGATTTAATCATAAAAGGATAAAAAAAAAAGCCTTATATTTATACAAGAAACTTTGTTCAAATTGTTATACAGGTAAAGTAATAGTAAGTTTTAATAAATAATCATACACTTTATTATATAACATGTATTATTAAATCTTAATAAATTAATCAAGATTTCTTCAGATATTTTTAATGCTATAAAAAAAAAAAAGAACTTGATTTAGGATCGAACAATTACACATTGTACAATGAACATACTTTCCTAATAAGTATAGATTCTTCGAATTGTAAAATAGATTGTATAATTACAGATTTTTTAGAATATCCATAATTGATTGTACTATTAGAAGGTAAAAAAAGGAAATTGATTTTAGAACAATTTTCTAATTCATGCTACTTTTAGCACAAAGGAAATATATTATTCGAATTCTGGAATTATAAGATAAATCGTATAATACGTGCATTATGCTTTTTTGTAAACAATTACAAAATTGTCAATTCATAATTTATTTAATTTCCAAATAGATCTTAGCATATAAAGTTAATCGTACTTGCATTAAATTTATATGCTATATAGGGATTGTTTGGACTGGGTCTAGTTTAAAATAGATATCGTATAATAAACAGGGTTTATATTATAATATATCATACGATACAAGTACAAACAAAATTGGTATTTTTGTTTTAAAAATACACAAATCGGATGATTATTTAATAATTAGCAAGTCCAATTGGTAAGTTTAAACCAAAATAGTAAATGGTTTAGAATCTATTATTATTATTTTTTTTTTACGCCAAATAATTATTCAAAGCTGCTAGAATTAAATAGGGTTCCGATAAATATAAAAAAACCTGTTAATAAGCTGGTTTATAATTGATTCGTTAGGGACCGCATTGAACGAATATGATCTTCTTAACGATAGTACATTTAAAGAATGAGTATGGTTTTCACATTTTCAGAAATATGATTGTAAACAATGTTTTTAAAAGTATTGTTTTAACATTATCATATTCAAATAGTTTATTATTATAATGTAAAAACTAACGCAGCGATAGCGATAGGTGTCAAAATTAATAATACAAAAATAGTAATCAGATCTTCGTAAATCATATTTCATTCCATCAATAGTTTAACATATATCTAGATAGCAAATATAAATGTATAAATGTTAAGTCTAAAGGATACCCTACAGCAAACATTTCAGCATTTATTTGCACATTTGAAAAGAGAAATAATCGTGATCGACAATAAATAAGCCCACCAATTTATTAAGTATGAACAATTATTAAGCAGTTCATTGTTTTTATTTATCTGAAGAATATGTCTTGTAAATATTATCAAGAGACTTTAACGTGATTAAATTCGAGACAGGTTAAACAAAAATACCACGTATACATGTAATTAATTAAACATGATTTACGTTACGCAATATATATTATTCATTATTCAAGTAATAGATATGTATCACATAGCAAAGCGTTGTACAAGCATGTGAAGTTGTAACGTGCGATGAATCCAATATGCATTCACATCCCTACTTCGCCTCATTTTTTACCCAATCTAATGCAAGATTTTGCGGACATACATCATTAATTCGGCATATAACCATACACTTCGTGATATTTACATATCACTCCGCTCCTGGTACAGTGCTGTATTGTAATAGCAGACATTTTTTTGCTGAGCCAAATAAAGATTATATTTAGGTAAATTAGTATATACCAATGATAAGAGTCTGATCCGTTGAAAAAAGACCTATAAGGAATATACGTACGTACGTGTGTATATAAAAGATATGATGATTAAGTCATGCAAATCAATAAGGTTCAAGATTTTGCGGACACATAACGCTTGAAACGTTGTATGAACCATATATATTAATATGCATTCGTTCTTTTATTAGTACCCTGTGTGATGGCCTTTGATCGTCAGGAAAATGATACTTAAAGGTAACCATTCTGAACAAATCGTGCGCATCCTTCACATGATTAAGGTTGTAAGATTACTATACATTATTATACTACAGTATTTACAAACCCCAGATAGGATGAATTCGAGAAAATTAAACCACAAACACAGTTTTACTATCGACGGCAAGAGCAGTCTTCATTTGATTCTTGTTTTGATTTAATTTGACCATAACGACCATTTGTATTACCATATAAGGGTAGCTGCGCAGCGTGTGACGCGGCGCAGGACCAGTACGATCACGTTATTCTGTTATTATTTATTTTGGTT